TATGCACTTTTCCCCACATCCTGAAACTCAGGAGGGGAATTTTTGTGCTTTTGGAAGCTTGCTGAGCTGCTGTGAGCTGAAGAAATCTAGCAGCTGTTAATTTTTTTTTTCTTTCCATTTGGCTGGGTGAATTTATTTTTGAAAATGTCTGTCTCAATTATTCATAGCAGGTGCTGAACTCCAGGTCTCCATGAATGTTATTCCATTGCTTAACTTGATATGTCAATGTTTCGTTTCTAAAATAAATTAGAATGTTTTTTGAGGCTGTGACTGAGAAAGACATTCAAGACCTTATTTGCTGTGTAGAGTTTTTCTCTTTTTGGCTCTGTTTAGTCAAGAGCCTCCGTAATATGTCAGATAATAAGATAAATTGTATTTTACAACTGCATGGTTTTCAGCATAAAAGCTTAGAAAGAAATACCCCCAAATTGAATTTGGATTTACATTAGCTGTACTAACCATGATGTTTAACTCACACCCACATGCATATGCACACACAGACACAGACAAACACAGACGTACATCTTCCTGTGCACACAGTTCACAGTCATAACCCCTTCAGAGAGACCTGCTCTGGTTTGGGTGTATGGGGACTGTTTTGCCCACTGCTTTGACATAGAAGTGTTGCTATCAAGAAATTTTATTCCTAGGTCCATCCCTCATTCCTTATTTCAGGAATTTCTCTCTCTTGTTTGTTAGATACCAGGTTTGGAAGAGGTTTGGTAAGACTGAGACATTTTTCATGTTGGGGTGAGTCCCATAGTACAGTGCTGCTTCGGGTGTGGTCTGCATGTCAGTGCCGTTCTGTCAGCTGTTGGTTAGCAGCCTGCAAGGGATAAGTACAGAAAGTGAGAGCAAGCATTTAGAAGCTTACAGTAATTTGACATGTCTGTCAAATTTAATAATACAGGATTTGAGCTTGTATTTTGCATGTCTTTTAAAGTTCATTTTTCTAGAAATTCATTTTTATTGTATTTTTTACTAAAAGTATTTGTTCCTGACTGATTGGAAATTGAAAATCAAACAGAACTGGTCTTCACCACAGATGGTTTAACATGTGTGTTACAAGGTTAGCAGCTTTGGTGAAGGAAGGATCTGAATGGTCGCTTGGTTCCACTTTGTTCTTAGTGAAGTCAAGGTCGCTCTGCACCATTACTTGGACACAGGCCAAAATGATATTTACGCTTTTGATTTTGTTGAGGTGAAGATGCCATTGAGTTTAGCGTCTTTAAAGGGTACGCTGCTGCTGGATGATCTAGGTTTGTTTCTGGTAAATTCATTTTCCAAATATTTTTCACAACCTTTTTATTCTCTGTAATGAGATGGAGAGATGAAATTAAAACATGTTTCGAGGGAAAAACAAGTAAGGTTTATTGATTGATTTGACATAGACTTGAAGGAAAGGGGAGCGTCAAACATGACTAAATTTCGAAGTGCTATTGTCTTAGAGAATCGAGAGGAGAGATGGTCTCAGAAGAGCGCCATCGGGCTGTTCTTTACAGTTACACTGACTGGGTTGGGGTTATGGCTGAAACTGTTATGATAATATCTTAAATATGAAGTGTAACTCTCCAGGCAACAAATACGTAGGACCATATGAGCAGAAGAGTTTTGATATGTTTCTAAATTTAGGAGAGGTAATAGTAAGAAAAGTAACTGGAAAAGGTAACAGAGAAAACTAAGTAGACTCATAAGTAAAATCTCACAAAAGTGAGGGGTGAAGGGAGGAATTTCATAAAGGGAGATGTTATCAGAATTCAAGGCACCCTACAGTTTAAGGTCTTTATTTGAATTCCATTATGGTCAGAGAACATGTTCTATATGGTTCCAATTCTTTGAAATTTGAGATTTGTCTTACGCTCATCTTACAGTCTGTCACGGTGAATGTAGCATGTGTACTTGAAAAGAATGCATGTTTTGCAGATGTATCACATTCTGTAAATGTCAGTTAAATCAGGGTGGTTCATAGTATCATTTGGATCATCTCTGTACTGATTCTGTTGTCTAGTGGTTCTATCAATGATCAATTGCTAAGAGAGAGAGTTGTTAAAATTTCCAGCTGTTAGTGTGGATTTGTCGGTTTCTCCTTTCAGTTCGGCCAGTTATTGTTCCATGTATTTTGAAGCTCTTTTTTTTTTTTTTTTTTTGCGGTACACGGGCCTCTCACTGTTGTGGCCTCTCCCGTTGCGGAGCACAGGCTCCGGACGCACAGGCTCAGCGGCCATGGCTCACGGGCCCAGCCGCTCCGCAGCATGTGGGATCTTCCCGGACGGGGGCACAAACCCGTGTCCCCTGCATTGGCAGGCGGACTCTCAACCACTGCGCCACCAGGGAAGCCCAAAGCTCTTTTTTATTTTTTAAACTTTTTATTTTTTAAAAATTTATTTATATTTATTTATTTTTGGCTGCATTGGGTCTTCGTTGCTGCGTGCGGGCTTTCTCTAGTTGTGGCGAGCGGGGGCTACTCCTCGTCGTGGTGCACGGGCTTCTCATTGTGGTGGCTTCTCGTTGCGGAGCATGGTCTCTAGGCACGTGGGCTTCAGTAGTTGTGGCACGCGGGCTCAGTAGTTGTGGTTCGCAGGCTCTAGAGTGCAGGCTCAGTAGTCATGGCTCACGGGCTTAGTTGCTCTGCAGCATGTGAGATCTTCCCGGGCCAGGGCTTGAACCCGTGTCCCCTGCATTGGCAGGTGGATTCTTAACCACTGTGCCACCAGGGAAGTCCCAATGCTCTTGGTCTTGATATCTACTTTATTTGAAATTAATATAGACATGCCAGCTTTCTTCCACTTACGGTTTTCCATCTTTTAGTTTCAACCTATCTGTGTCTCATATTTAAAATGTGTCTCTTTGAGACAACATATACTTGGGTCTTGAATTTTTATCTCTTCTAATAATCTCTGCCTCTTAATTGGAGTGTTTAGTTCACTGACATTTAGAGTAATTATTGGTGTGGTTGGATTTAGGTCTACCATTTTATTATTTTCTTCTGTTTGTTTCATCTGTTTTTTGTTCTGTCTTCCATTCCTGCCTTCTCTAACGTTAACTGAGTTCTTTTTAGAATTTCAGTTTAATTTTTCTATTGGCTTTTTAACTGTTCTGCTTTGTAGTATTTTATTTTTTATAGGTTGATTTAGTGTCACAATATTTATCCTTAACCTTTTCCATTATACTTGAAGTTAATATTACATTCTCACCAGTAGTGCACAAGTGTTCTCGTATCTCCACAATCTGGACAACACTGGCTGTCTTGTTTTTTGATAATAGCTGTCCTAACAAGTGCAAAGTGATATTTAATTGTGGTTTTTGACTTGATTTTCCCTGATGATCAGTGATGTTGAGCACTGTTTCATGATCTGTTGGCCATCTTTATGTCTTCTTTGGGAGAATGTCTATACAGATCCGCTGCCCATTTTTTAATTGGCTTGTGCTTTTTTGTTGTGGCTGTTTCTAGTGAGTTAAATGAGTTCTTTATACATTTTAAATACTGCCCTCCTATCATATATATGGTTTGCAAATGTTTTCTCCCATTTTGTAGGATGCCTTTTCATTTTGCTTTTTTTGGTTCTTTGGCTGTGCGGAAGCTTTTTAGTTTGATATAGTCCCAGTTGTTGATTTTTACTTTTGCTGTGCTTTTGGTGTCATATCCAAAAAATCATTCCCAAGGCTAATGCCAAGGAGATTTCCCCCTGTGTTTTCTTCTATGAGTCTGACAGTTTCTGGTCTTATGTTTAAGTCTTTAATCCCTTTTGAGTTAGTTTTTGTGACTGGTATAAGATATGGGTCCAATTTCATTTTTTTGCATGTGGTTATCCAGTTTCCCTGCCGACAACATTGAAGAGACTATCCTTTCCGCAATAGGTTTTCTTGGCTCCCTCGTCAAATATTAGTTGACTGAATATGTACGGGCTTATTTCTGGGCTCTCTATTCTGTTCCATTGGACTCTGTGTCTGTTTTATGCCATTACCATACTGTTTTGATCACTGTAGCCTTGTAGTTTAGTTTGATATCAGTATGTGTGACTTCTCCAGCTTTATTCTTCTTGCTCAGGATTGCTTTGGATATTTGGAGTCTTTTATAGTTCTGTGCAAGTTTTAGCATTGTTTTTCCTATTTCTGTGAACATTGGAATTTTGGTAGGGATCGATCTCATTAATTTCCATATGCTAAGCTAAATCTCTCTCTGCATTTATTTAGCATAATTATTAGAAATATAACTTCCTTGCAAAAATAAAGAAATTTAAAATTTTGGCACAGTTGATTTAGAATTGTTATTCCAGGATTTTTTTGAGTGTGGGAGATTTGACAGGCCTTCTTTACCAACTTTGTGAAGGTGGCTTTCTTGAGAGCTTGTTTGTCCTTGTTCTAGACCTCAGCATGAGCATGGTTTTGCTCTGAAATATTGGTTAACTCAGTGAACAGTTTATCTTCAGAAATACTTAGATTCCTTTGCTGATTTCGTCAGTACTCTTAAAAATTGCATTAGAAAACTGAGGAATTTGCTTGAATGTCACAAAACTTTTCTGATAATTACTGAAGCAAGAGAGTTTTTTAACTTGCCGTCCTTTGTGCACTTACAGGTTGATTGGATGGAGAAAAAGGTCAGGGACTGGGAACTAGAGAGATACTTGAGGAAACAGTCTTTCTTAGCATCCTAAGCGCTCCATGTGGCCAAGAAATGGAGTGTTCATGTTGGTGACCTCAAGAGCAGGGCTGTGAGGAAGGATGGTGATGGACCTCACTGTAAATGTGTTCAGTGTTTTGAGGCTTGTCTAGGTCAATAATTTAAAATGTTTAGTAAGCTAGTAAGTAAGGAAGGAATCAGAAGGATGCTCCTGATGTGGGACAGATGCTTGGAAAGAAGTCAGGATTTGTGATCCAGTCATCCACTTAAGGTGATAGTTAACTTGAGAACAGGAAGAGGAGAGAGGATGTGAAAGCAGGTGCAGAGAACATCACATAACAAATTATATCATTTCTCATTGTGTCTTTGTCTAACCCAGAACTTCTTAGAAAAATCAACTGAAAGAGAAACTCGCCAAGAGTATGCTCTGGCTATGATTCAGTGCAAAGTTCTGAAACAGTTGGAGAACTTGGAACAGCAGAAGTACGATGACGAAGATATCAGTGAAGATATAAAATTTCTCTTGGAGAAACTTGGTGAGAGTGTCCAGGATCTTAGGTATGTTATTCTTTTTAATTCTCACAGGCTGGGTATATTGGGCCTTGTTTGACTTGCCTCATATTTTAAGGAAATTTAAATTTGTTATGAACTATAAACTCAAAAGATTGCACTAAAACATCATGTCTTCTATTGAATATTGAGGGGTATGGAAACACTGGCTCACCATCATGGCAACCATTGGTCAGAGCTGTGTGTTATTTCTCCTTTTTCGGGTGGATCCCCACTGTTGTCTGTTGTCTAAAATCTGACCTGGTGTTCTACCACGGGTTGTGGGTGCCACCCTTTGAGAATCTCCCCCTGGTTTAAAATCTTTTTTAAGCAGCAGTCATTGTTAATTTGTGGAGGAGGTTTGCTTAGATATGGAAAGAGTAGTTTTTCCTGCCCTTTTTTTTTTTTTTTTTTTTTTTCCGGTACGTGGGCCTCTCCCTGCCGTGGCCTCTCCCGTTGCGGAGCACAGGCTCCAGACGCGCAGGCTCAGCGGCCATGGCTCACGGGGCCCAGCCGCTCCACGGCATGTGGGATCGTCCCGGACCGGGGCACGAACCCGTGTCCCCTGCATCGGCAGGTGGACTCTCAACCACTGCGCCACCAGGGAAGCCCTCCTGCTTTTGTGAAGTCCCTATTGGTTTTATTTATTTTTTATATTAAAAATTATGCAAGTGATGTACTTGCAGTAAAGAAAAAAATCCCTTTTTTTATTCAGTACAGAATACAGTACAGTACAGAATACAGTACAGTACAGAATACAGGATACAGTACAGTACAGAATACAATACAGTACAGAAGGGACAGCACACCAGTACTGCCATCTTCCCCAGCTACTTCCCTCTGCCCCTCTGGTTTCTTGTGTTCATTCCCCAAAAAACCTAGCCCCCCTCCCCCTAGCATGCATGCATGTGCGTGCGCACACACACACAGACACACACAAATAGGGTTCTATGTATTCTTCTGGTCCTGGTTCTTTTTTGTTTAATGTAGCTTGATGATTTTTCTCATTAACCCATGCATTCTTTGTTTTTGAACTATTGATACATTTTAAAAAGAGAGTTACTCACTAGAAGTAGATTGGGTTTGGGAGCCAGGATGACTCCAGTTTGAATTGTTTGACCGCTTTGTCCACGTGTGGCCTTGAATAAGCCTCTTGACATTTTAAAGTCTCAATTTTCCTTTTGGTAAAATAGTGATAAAAATTCTAATCTTGTAGGATTTTCCGTGAGGTGTCCAGCAAGTGCTTTTAGTATAGTATGTGTTCCAAAAATGTTATTTATCAGATAATTCCGTGCAGCCCATAAGCTCAAGGCCCAAAAGCTTTTATAGAGATGGGAGCTGTCACTCATATCAGTGGTTTGTAGGGAGCTTTGTGGAGGAAGGCAGATGATTTTTGTCTTTTCATAATTTCAAATATGAATAAGTTGTTTGTAATATAATAGGCCAGCAATAGGCTTGCAATTTATACAAATTCTATTTTATTATGTTTATTTAAAAAAATTATCATTAGTTCTTCTGTAATAATGATTTGAGACCCTTTTAAAAAAATAAATAAGATTAGTGATAGCTTTCTAAATTATTTAATCCATGCTAGCCAATTGTTATTATTTACTGATTTTTCATGTTGAATTTGGTAATGTGAACAATATTGCTGTTTACATAAAGCTAACATGGTGATGGGAGCAGTTGAAATAGATTTGTCTCTTTATATTGTTACAGGTTTAGCATATTAGTTAAACAATACTAGGTTACTTCTTATACTAAATAGCCTTTCATTAAATTACTACTTTATTTAACAGGTTACTCTGATCACCTTAACCAGTGAGTCTTTGTTATACTGAATTATCAATCAGTATTAAATGGCTACTTCTTTTTGAAAATTTTACTTGAAAGAAAGTACAAGCCTGTCTTGTCACTTTGTTCACTGGCTAACCACATTAAAGCAGTTTTATATTATGAAGATTTGAATAATTGTTACTTGATACATAGTGACTAATTTTTTAATTAAAGTGCATTTTAGTTTGTTACATGTACAGAGGTTTTTGTTTTTAATTAATCTGTAGTGGGCTAATTCAGTTAATGAATTACCTCTGCATTGTTGGCAGTCACATTTAAAAATATTGTACTGAGGTATGTGTTTTTATTTTTGTACTGCAGTATCATGGTTTGTCATTTAAAGTATATGTTATTTTATTTTGTGTTAAAGTAATATACTTTTACATAAATTTATCTTTATGTATCTAGTGGTCTGGCAAATACAGTGTTTTAAGAGGCATGGTAGAAACAATGCTAGATTATCAGATATTTAATTTATTTTAATTAATTTATTTATTTGTGGCTGCATTAGGTCCTTGTTGCTGCTCACAGGCTTTCTCTCGTGGTGAGCAGGGACTACTCTTCATTGTTATGTGCGGGCTTCTCACTGCGGTGGCTTCTGTTGTTGTAGAGCATGGGTTCTAGGCGCATGGGCTTCAGTAGTTGTGGCACGCAGGCTCAGTAGTTGTGGCTTGTGGGCTCTAGAGCACAGGCTCAGTAGTTGTGGCGCACGAGCTTAGTTGCTCTGCGGCATGTCGGATCTTCCCAGACCAGGGCTTGAACCCGTGTCCCCTGCGTTGGCAGGTGGATTCTTAACCACTGTGCCACCAGGGAAGTCCCTATCAGATATTTTAGTGATGTACATGCATTTATGTGTATATTAAGGTTAGAATTTTGAAAGCAAGTGCTCCTTTTAATATCTCATGGTGAACATTCAAATTTGACAGGAGTACTGGACCTTAGTACCCTGAATAAGTTTCACATGATTTATTGAAAATTAAGCCATTTAGGGGCTTCCCTGGTGGCGCAGTGGTTGAGAGTCCCCCTGCCGATGCAGGGGACACGGGTTCGTGCCCCGGTCCGGGAAGATCCCACATGCCATGGAGCGGCTGGGCCCGTGAGCCATGGCCGCTGAGCCTGTGCTCCACAACGGGAGAGGCCACAACAGTGAGAGGCCCGCGTACCA